TCCGAGTATATTAGTCTGCTGTTTAAAAATCCTCCTGAGCAATCAAGTTGATTTATTTTTGGCATTTTTGTTTTTTAAGCAAGGGAGAAACAAACATATCATGCCACAAAGGTAAATGAGAAAATAATTTTATGCTCTGGGATAAATAGCACACTGGGCCCTGCCAGATGGGCGAAGTCAGGGGCGTCCAGTAACCCGGGTCTACTGTTGTGGATTTGTCATCTGGCAGCAACTCTTCATGTCCGAGCTGTGATGTCTTCAGAGCTCAGCCCAGCCATAGAGTCACTGCATTCTGAAAACACAGCCCCAATGCCCACAGCACCCCTTCCATGAGCCCCCAGCCTTTATGAGCAAACAAACAACCCCTCACACCAAGGCTCTGTGTGTCTCAGAAACCCAGACATCTGCCTTTTCCTCAGGGTTGCGAGACTTCTCCTCCCTACATTTAACAAAGAAAACATCTTCAGTGGGCACAGTAGCATAGGCCTGTCATCCCAGATACTCAGAAAGCGCAGGAGTTTGAGACCAGCCTGAACAATATAGTGAGACCCATTTCTTAAAAAAAAATGTAGCTGTGTGTAGTCACACGAACCTTTGGTTCCAGCACTCTATGAGTTCCAGGTCAGCTGGGGCTACATACTGAGACCCTGACCCAAAAAAACAAAAGAAAAAGTGTCATTATGTATCTATTATGCCAATTTCTCCTTCAACACAAAACTGACTGCATGCTAGTTCCTTTTTGCTTGACGAATGCAGACTGATCTCACGTGATCTAAGTCATCTCCCTCTTCATAGCTCTTTTATACAAGTCACTGTCTATTGGTGGACATTGTGATGCCTTCCAACCCTTGCTGCTACAGCAATGACTTATATCCTTACCCAACAGTCATTTGGTATGTGGACACATGGGTCTGCAGGAGAAACATCGGTAGGTCGAATCTTTGAGTCAAGTGTATTTGAGACTGAGCCAGGCACACGTGTGCACCTGCAGCCGCTGGGGGATGGGGACAGGAGATCACTTGAGCCCAGAGCTTGAAGCCAGCATGTTTTGATAATGACAACTCCCATCTCCTCCTTTCCCAGTCACCCCAATTCACACGTCTCCATTGCACCAGGACGCTGCTTTCTTCTTCCCTACCTTTATCAAAGCAGCCCTTTGACGGCTGCAGAAACTAAGTTTCTCACTAGGGTTTCCACACGTGTTGTGCTCGCTTGAATGCAGTGCGCAGCTCTTCACGTGGAGAGAGCCGACTCATGTGATTTCTCTTCCCTGACCTTGGCCCATCTTCCCTGGATGTCACGGCTTTATTGGTTTGTGGTAGCTCTTTGGGAAAGGAGCCCTCTGTGATGTGGGTTGCAAATATTTCTCCCCCTGGCCTGCCCTGTACTCTAGCTATTTTGCCAAGACAACACAGCATGTAATTATATAACTGAATTTCTTAATCTTATCTTTTATGATGTCTGGGACTGTGAGCTTCTAAACAAGCCTCCTCCACACCAAGATTATAAATAAAATGGCTCGTGTTTTTCTTCCTCTTTGTGGCCTTATTTTTTTTACATTTAAATCTTTGAATCATCTGGAATTTGTTGTCACATAGGAGTGAGATCCAACCATATTTTCTTCCAGCTGGAGACCCAGCTGTCCTGAAACCGTGACTGCCATTCCCCAAACACAGAAGCCTGCACTAACCCTCTACTCCACCTGCACTGATCTTTCCTGTTCTGTGGCATTTCCAACTCTGATTTCCTACTCATCTTCCTTAGCATTCTGCTCTGCCTATTCGGTCATTTCAGTCCTCCATTCCCATAGGGAACAGCTCTGGGAATGTAGGAGAAGAGCAAGCTCCCCAGACACTCGGATCCCATGTATACAATGATGTTGAGTTTGCAGAGAACCTATGCATACCGTCCTGTAGACTTCAGCCATCTCTGCATGCCTAACGCAGCCATGGTCTGTACACTGCTGCGCCGTGTTGCTTAGGGAGTAACAATGAGAAAGACTGCACATCCAGCACAGACGCAAGCTCTCCGATATCCTCCATCTGCAACTGGTTGGCTGTGTGGATGCAGAATCTGCAGATCTGAGGAGGCTGAGTGAGTGTGCCAACCCTGCACCTGAGCTGGTGGGATTGGAGGGACCACTTCCATTCAGGCCACCAGAGTCCTCAGAAGTCCTTTTTCCAGCCCTCTCGCAGATGAGGCTCTGTCTGTCTGGACTGCACCTCTTCTATCCTCCTCCCCTCAGGAGGCGAGTGACGATGCAGGGAGTGTACAGAGAGGCAAGGGAACAGGGCAGCTTCAACTGTCAGCCCCTGCAACAAGTGCCCAACACGATCCCTGAAAGCCTAGCTTCCTTCTAATCAGGATAAGCTACCGGAAGGGAAGGGCAAAGGACAGATGGGGATGACCCCAAGGACAACTTATCACTGCTGCTGAATACCGTGGAAGAGGATGAACAAGGTGCCTGAAGCTATTTGATCTGCCAGTGGCAGATGGGAGCAGCCCCCACAAGATGCAGTTACCCCAAGTGTGGGGTCTCACCAATCACTTCCCTCCCTGCCCCTTCCCTGCTTTCAGATGCGGCCATGAAACACACAAGTGTCAGCCTGCAGCAGGGACCGCTTAGCCTAACTTTCCGTGTGGATGCTGGAGTGGAGAACTCCCAACTCTGCTCTTTCCTGTCCATGCCACCTGTCCGTCTCAAAGGCAGAAGACTCAACAGGCACAAGACTTAACTCCACACTGCCTCTTCAGACCCTAGTACTTTCTGTGCTCTACAGCCTTGGCAAGAGCCATAGGGACATGCCTCCAGAGGGCTGGAGACTTGCTGTGTAGTACCTATGTGTGTGTGAGCCAGGAGTGGCCTTTACGCCAGGGTCAACTCCAGCGCTGTTGCCCTTACAGGCCCCCATATGGCCACTTCCACGCGGGTGGAGCTGTGAGAAGGGATGGACCACCGGTGAACTTGGCCTGAAGAGCAGCCAAGTCAAGGGAAGGTCTGAACCTGAGCTTCCCGCGGGCAGCCTGAGAGGATGGGTGATTGGAGGAGGAGGCACAGTTCAAGGGAACTGACAAAATCAACCCCAGGTGACCCAGGACATAGTTCACACCTTGTTCCCTCCTCCTCCTACTCAAGTACCGCCCACCCAGCTCTTTCCTGATGCCGCTCAGCCGAGGCCCTCACTGTCATTTGCTGGGTGCACTGCGGCATGCCTGTCAGGTACGGCATCCTTCACTGGAACCTGCCACAGTCTGCATCTTAAGGGACCTCCCCATGGCAAAGGCTTGCTCCTCAGGGTGCTGAGATTAGAAGGTTCTGGAGCCTTTGAAGGTGGGGTCCGGCTGGAGGCCTTTAGGTCACTTAAGTGTGCTCTTGAAGGACTGTGGGGCTCTCGTGTCTTCCCGCTTTCTCTCCTTTGTTTCCTGGTAATGAGGTTTTCCTCTGGCACATGCCTCTGAACCACCGCCACCCGGCACCCACCACATGCCTCTGAACACCCGGCACCCACCACATGCCTCAGAACCACCGCCACCCGGCACCCACCAGAGCCTGACGGCAATAGGTCTGCCTGATCATGGACTGTAAAACTGAGCCAACCCTTTTTAAGTCCATTATCTCAGGCATTTGTTGTTTTTACTTATTTTGTGTATGAGTTTGCCAATCTTGCCTACGGGAGTCAGAGGACACATGCTGGAGTCTTTTCTCTCTTTCTACTGTGTGGGTTCTGGGGGTCAAACTCAGGTCCTTAGCCTTGCCAGCAAGCACCTTTATCTGATGAGTCACTTTTTGGCCCAGGTATGTGTGACAGTAATGGCACCTGGTTAACAATGTCCTCTCTGGAATACAGGAGTGGGTGGTCATATTACTGAGTGCAATTCCAGTACTCAAGAGGATTCCGTGAGTTCGAGGCCAGCCTGGTCTACAGAGAGAGTTCCAGGACAGCCAGGGCTACACAGAGAAACCCTGTCTCCAAAGCAAAGCAAGAACGTGCTACTGGAATGGATGGACAGGCCTCCATCTCCTCACGTCAAGGCAAACAACTCTAAAAGCCCTGCTGGTAGCCACACTCTTCCTCTTCCCGCATCCGGCCCCCTCCAAGGGGCTCTCATCTAGCATGCAAACCTCTCTCATCTTCAGGGCAGTGTGAGGGCTCCCTCCTGTGCCTTCTGACGTGAGCACAGGTCCCTGTGGCCCCACTCCCTGCTACGCAGCCCACATTTTCCTTCTGCATGCTTTTCTTTTGACACAGCCCTGGAATAGGCCACCCTCAGAATCCTGCCTATCCTCCATGCGTCTAGAATGTCACTCTCACTCTCAAAACGGTGCTCTCTCCCTCCCTCAACTTCAAGCTACCGCGCACGGAAGCTGTGCTAGTAGACATCCTCTCAGAGGGTGTGCCTCCTGGCTCTCAGAGCCCAGCACCCCCAGATCACACTCTCACAGGCCTCCTGGGCAAAACCCCTCAAGAATTAATAAAGGGTCATTTGACTCGGTCCCTCACGATGCAAAGACTAGGTGCTCAATTGGTATTTATTGCATAACAAATGCAGGAAGAGCTGGCAAGAGGGAACAGCATTTCTCCGAAAAACGTGACAGACCTCCGTAAAGACCGATCATTCCCAATTTAGTTACCCCATCTCCCTCTCCTGGCTCCTCCCAGAGCTCGCCGACCAGCCGGCACCAGCCCCACCGGTGCAGCCTCGGTGGCCCATCCCAGTGGTCCCACCCGGCCCCACGCCTCAGCTCCGCCACGCCCACCTGCTCCTCAGACCCCGCCCCTCAGGCTCCAGAGGGTCGCACCCCATCCCGCTAGTTCCACCCGATCCCCCAGCAGGACCTGTCCCTCAAGTACGGTCCGCCTAGACCTGAGGCGACGGCCCTCCCGCGGGCCCTGCCCGGTGCAGGCTCCGCCCCGCCCTCTGGGCCCCGCCCCCACCGACTCCACCCTGCCCCACCCACCTGTCCTGCAGGCCCCGCCCCGCCCCTCGGGCCCGCTCACCTGTACGCCCAGGGCGAGACGCTGCGCAGGTTGGTGGGCGGCCGGAAGCGGCGGTCGGCGGGCCTGCCCCCCGCGGGGCAGCTGGCGTTGCGCGCCTGCTCGCGCGGCCCGAGCTGCAGCGTGTGGTGGAAGGCGCTGAGCACGCCGACCGCCAGCCGCCCGTACAGCTGCTCCAGGAGCTCCTCCGGCCGGTCCGCGCAGTCCCGCGGCCGCGCGGGGCGCCTCCCTGTCCTCGGCGCGCCCGCCGCGCGGCCCGGCGCCAGTGCCAGCAGGAAGCCGACCACGAGCGTCCAGACCTGCGGCGGGACAGGCCGCGCTCAGCGTCGCGGGACCCGCCCGCCGCTCCGCACACCGTGAGGCCCTGCCCGAGCATGGGCGCCGCGCGGGCCGGCCCCCGAGCGCCGTCCCCGCCCGCCCGCCGCCCTCGCGGCCCCCGGGGCCCGGCCAGCCGCCGGCCCGCGCGCCCCCGGCCCCCGCCGCCGCCGCCGCCCAGAGCCGGAGCCCGCGCGGGGGGCGGGTGCGGGGCGCGCGTGCACGTGTGCGTGTGCCTGCCGGGCTGCTGCGCGGCGGGCTGCGAGTGCCCGTGAGACGCCGCTCCCAGCCGGCCCCGCCGCCCCGCAGCCCCCGCCCGGCCCCGGCCGTGCCCTCGCCGGCGCCCCCGAGGGCACTCACCGGCGTCCCCCACATCGCGTCGCCGAAATGCTCTCCGGACGAGTCAGGAGGGGCGCTGGTGGCTCTCGAGCGAAGTAAATAAAGGCGCCACACACGCGGGGCGTGTGGCCTGCGGGCTGGGTGTCGCCCCCACAGAAGTGGACTGGCGCGGTCCGCCTGGCTGGAGGAGGAGGAGGTGGAGGAGGTGGTGACTGGCCTCGACGTCTGGGCTCCGACCAGTGGGGCGGCGGGGACGCAGGCGGGAGGCCGACTTTGGCTCAGAGAAAACCGTTTTCTCCAGGCATTAACGCGGTCCGGGAGCTGCACAGGTCACTTGGAAATGAATGAATCAAGCCTACAAGGACTCTTCTCCTTGGGACCACGTCTTCTGGGATTTCATAGTTCGAAGACTTACATTAGAGATCAAAAAACAGTTATGTTCTCTGAGGCGAGAGGAAACTGTTTTCCCCTAAATACTCATAAAATGATTCGTGCCTCCTATTCAGCTAATAAATACCCTCCCCCACCTGACACATGGCTGTAAGTGGGAATCTCTTGGTCTAGTTTTACAGGGGTGGAGAACTCAACCATGATATTGTGTGAGCAGACATGTAAAGCGAGCCTAAAGTTCTGTGAATTAAGGGAAATCAGCTCAAATGAAGGCCTATATTGTATCTCCAGATCTCAAGAGAGCTTGCTCACCTACATGTGCATTCTACAAATATGTCTTGCTTGCCAGGCGTTCGCCTAATGAGTGCGATTACTTTTGAGCACTTATGCTTTGAGAATAAAAACAAATGGTTGAGACAAGCTGGAAGCTTTTTGAAAGTGTGCAAAATAATTTTGATTCCTTAACATGGCTTGCAGCTTTGGGTTTTAACCAAATTGTAAACCAATTGTTAAACCGCCTTTCCGTTACGCCGTGCAATAAAACACTTGCCTTCGATGTTTGAAACTAAAATGCTTTGTAACTGCTTTACCGCTGAAAGTCCCTCCAAACCTTACAGCTTAAACAATTTCCAGTTCTTAACAAACACACATCTGGATTTACGAAACACTTTCTGACTAGCACATACATTGTTAACATTGTGTCCTTTCTAGTAAAATGGGAATAAAGATATTGGCGCTCAAATACTGCTTATTTTCTGTTTGAAGAAAACTGTGTGGGAGTATTTCAGAGGCGAGCTTGTCATTATCAGAGTTCCATGGAAGTACTCACCGAATCCTGTTACAGCATCCTTTCATGCCCATAGAGGCACAGGGCCAATCAACAAGTACAACGTCTCACCTCCCAGATTACCTTTAATGGTTTCCGTTTGTGGAAGGGCCCAGTTCCTGAAAACATACACTGATTGAGCCTAAGATTCATTCGTGATTAAATAGTAGAGCAAAGCTTACAAACAGGTGCAGATTGAATAAGTTCTTCCCAGATCCCTGTGTGTCGTGAAGATACAAGGCACATGTTAACAGTCCAAACTTGGGGCTGGGGACATGGACTTACTGTGCTATGCTGGTGGGTCAGGGTCTGTCCCTGGAACCTAAGCAAGGTGAAGGAGAGAACCCACTCCACAAGCTGTCCTTTGTCACCACATACGCATTTCACTCACACGATCATTAGACTTTTTTAAAAGATTAACCCAGTTAAGAGCACTGTCTACTCTTGCAGAGAGGACTTGTGTTTGATTCCTAAGTATCCCAATGGTGGCTCACAACATCTAGAACTCCAGTTCCATGGGATTGACACTCTCTTCTGGCCTCTGAGGACACCTGGTGCACATATGATACACAAACACACATGCAGGCAAAACATGAAAATAAAAAATTAGTCTGGACTTAGTCCATGCTGATGCGAAAAGAGTTAATAGCTAATCTCACTGTGTCCCTCAGGTAGTGTTGCATGCTTGATCTTCTATACTGACTGTGTCTCCGCTAGTGTATTGTGGAGATAACTTGATATTTTCTCTTTCACCCCCTGCTTCACTCAGCTATCCAAAGTCCAGCAAACTGCAAGACAGCCTGCACCAGCCTTTGAGGTACACACAGAGGCTAGAAGAGAACGTCACGTCTCCTGGAACTGCTGCCACAGGTGGGTTGTAAGTATCCTTATGTAGGTGCTAGGAACCGAACCCTGATCCTCAGCCAGAGTAATGGACACTGTTAACTGCTGGGAGAGAGCCTAAGTCATTATTTGCACTGTAACATCAAAGCCAATGTGTGATTGGCTATTCCAAACTGGCCTTGGGATTCTCAATAAGGAGCATATGCAGAAAGCACTCTCAGCTGTCCCTCAGGTGGCTCCTCCTTTATTCAGGGTTAGCCTAGCACCTCAGTCTTGCCTTGTTTTTGCTGCTTAATCCTGCACCATCAGTCTGTACGATAGCACCTGGTTCTGAGTGCCCACTTGATTTTTTGTCTTTCCCCAATTTGTCTGATCTCAGCTATTGAATTCTGTGGCCACATCTAAGGCCTCGTCAGGAATACCTGACCGCATCCCAGTATCTGACCCCAGCACCCACGTATGCTCTGTTCTGCACTTCTCAGACTTCATCTGTCTTCAGATCTGTCTTCCTTGACCTTTCACTCTCCAATTACTTTCCTTGTCTAGCCCAGCTTCCTGACTCATCTTTATCATCACATTCGTTTGCTTTTTTCTTTTTTTATTATTTATTTTTAAGTTTAAATTTAGATTAAAAACAAGGTTGCTTCACAAGTCAGTTCCAGGTCCCTCTCCCTTTCCCTCCCCTCCACCCGTGCCCTCCCACCAACCCCCCCATTATCCCCTCATTTCCCCAGGGAGGGTGAGGCCCTCCATGGGGGTGTCCATAGTCTGTCATTTCATCCAGGGCAGGGTCTAGACCCTCCCCCAAGAGTTCAGGGTGAGAGTGCACCTCACATTGCTTTTTTTTTTTTTAAGATTTATTTATTTACTATGTATACAGTGTTCTGTCTGCATGCCAGAAGAGGGCATTGGATCTCATTACAGATGGTTGTGAGCCACTACGTGGTTGCTGGGAATTGAACTCAGGACCTCAGGAAGAGCAGCCAGTGCTCTTAACCACTGAGCCATCTCTCCAGTCTTGATGTGCTTTTCTTCTACAGTACTTGTCTGCGCTAATCCAGCTCTTCAAAGGAAAACATTAAACATGGTCTGGAGAGATGACTCAACCAGTAAAACGCTTGCTATACAGCAAGGCTTTGGACCTGAGTTCAGTCCCTTGGAATTCATGTAAAAAGCTGGAACTAGCATTTGTCTCAGATGAGCATTGTTTTTTCTGGCTTGGAGAAGTGTCCCCCAAGGTGCATGTATTCAGGGCAGGTCACTGGGGCTGTGTTCTTGAAGGGGTACCAGTCTTGTCCTCTGGCTCTGGGCTGCCCATCAGATGAAAGGGGCTGTTCTGTCACGTGCTTCTGCCATGATGTACTTACAGTGCTGTCTTAGTATTCTATTGCTGTGAAGACACACCATGGCCATCGCAACTCTTTTTTTTTTTTTTCCTGAGATGGTTTCTCAGTGTAGCCTTGGCTGTCCTGGAACTTGCTCTGTGAACCAAGAGATCTGCCTGCCTCTGCAACTCTTCTAAAGGAAAGCATTTAAATGGGTGGGCTTAAGATGTCGGAGGTTTAGTCTGTTGTCATGGCAGGCAGCATGGTGGCACACGGACAGACATGGTGCTGGAGAAGTAGCTGAGAGATCTACACCCAGATCCACAGGGAGAGCGAGAGTGGGCTTGGGATGGGCTTTTTGAATCTTTTTGTTGTGTTTGTGTGGCCTTGGCTGTCCTGGAACTCACTCTGTAGACCAGGCTGGCCTTGAACTCACAGAGATCTGCCTACCTCTGCCTCCCCATGCTGGGATTCAAGAAGTGTCCTACCAGGCCTGGCTGACAATGGGTGTTTTGAAAATTCAAAGCCCACTCCTAGTAACAGACTTCTTCAAACAAGGCCACAACTCTTACTCCTTTCAAATAGTGCCACTCTCTGGTGACCAAGTATTTGAATCTAGCCTCCATGGTCAAAAGCTAACAAAAAACAACCACCTCCACAGGTATCAGCAGCTCAAAGCAATAAACAGGACCAAGTAATCAGACCAGAACCAAAGAAGCTTCCAGCTGAGATAACCCTTTCCCCACTATAGGTGGGCTATCTCAGGTATTTTGTTATAGTAGTGAAAAAATCTAATCACGTAATTTTCCCATCACTCGCCAAATACCTGGCAGAAAGCAACTTTAGGGGAGACATTCATTTTGGCTCAGTTTGAGAGAATACAATCCACGACAGGAAAGGCATGGTGGCAGGAGGGTCTGGGATGGCAGAAGTGTGGCAGGCAACAGCTTGCTCAGAGCTCAGTGGACCAGGAGACAGAAGCAGCCTATACATCAGTGACTCACTTTTTCCCATGAGGTGCCACCTCCTAAACATTCCACCACCTCCCGAAACACCATCACCAGCTGGGGACCGGATATTCAAAGACATGAGCCAGTGGGGAGCATGTCACATTCAGACAACACTGACTAACACAGCATTCGATACAAATAGCCTATTAACTTTTCTACCTCTGTTCTGTTATTTTTGGTTGTGAGCCCAACCTTTAACGGCTGAGCCATCTCTCCAACCCCTCTACTCCCTTTTCCAAGGTCACTAATTTATGTCTGTTCTCATCAAATCTCTCATTTTTTTCCATAGACACATCTGAGGGCAGTCACCACTACCAGATGAACACTGACTGCTTGCACTCAAAGTCACACAGGCAGGATCTCCCACGATGCATGTTAGGAGCCTTCAGGACGCCAGGTAGTAACTAGATGCTACCTCTTCTCTGCTTTGACAGCAGAGTGCTCTGGCTTCTCTGCTCTGTGGTTCTAAAAGTCTCAACTCCTGTTTGCTCAGCATACTGTAGCTGAGGACCTTTCCCCAGTAGTTCATTGCAATGACTTTGACAAGGTCACAAGAGGATATATAATAATAATAATGTGTAATATGTAGTTATTGCCAAAGTCAAATGAATGAGAATTTTTTTGTATAAAAGATGGAGCTTTTCCTGCCCTTTCTGTCTCAACATATCTTTACCCTCGTATCTATTCTATTTTTTGAGAACTTGTCACACATCTATATCACCCTCCCTCTCCCCTTCTGTCATCCCATGTCCCCCTCTCACATCCACGATCTCTTTATTATTGCTGTATGTATATACTTATGTATTATGCACGCACATATATACACAGATGTATTTATAACCTACTGAGTCCATTAACAATAGTTGTGTTTACATGTGCATGTCCAGCCAGGGCTCACTTGCAGGAGAGTTCATCCTTGGAGGAGACTGATTCTCTCTCTCCATAGGCACAGACTGCCTGTAGCTTTTCATCTAGAGGTGGGACCCTGTGGAATTGTCCCTGTTCACACTGGCACGTCAGCTGGTGATGTCATTATGCTGATCTTGTTCAGGTGGCTATACTGTTGAGCACTCGTGTGCAGTTTCTCCATCATATGTAGAAGACACTTTCTCACAGCATATGTTCTGCTCTTCTGGCTCTTACACTCATCCCCCTATTTTGTGACTTCTCCTGAGCCTTGGGTGTAGGGGTTGCATTGGGGATGTATTAGTTGGGGCTGGGCACCCCACGACACCCTCATATTTTAAAATGTTTCTGGGTGATGTGGCATTTACTTACAGTCTTAGCTACTCAAGAGGTTGAGACACTTGGATCATTTGAGCCCACAAGTTCAACACCAATAGGATGGAGCAGCCAATTCTTTGGATAATCTAGACCCTCACAGCTGGCCTGCCCCAGCCTCACACTCTAAGCACGAGTGGAGTGGGCCAACCAGTCTGGAGACACTGTGCACACACCAGTGGCAACCATTAAACAGCAAGGTTACAGTTTGGTGTTTTCTCTATCTGTTTTGTTATGCTGCCTTCAAGAGAACTGTCTTAATAGTGAGACAAACTACCCAAAGACTAAGCAAATCCTTCCAAACTCCAAGCCATGTAGCTTGAATAAAGATCACACATATATCTTAGTAATTTTTAAGCTATGAAATATAATAAACTCATTACTGGCTCTTTATATATAGTAAGAAAGGTAAATTTTAACACTGTATATACAAACTTTATTGTGGGTGGGCAGATAC